GTCCTGACTTGGGGGCTTTTGTGTCCTTTTATGCATTGTCCAATTTTATCAAAAATCCCACTAAATCATTTTAAGTGGAACCCCATGCCCTTGCTGCCTGGTTATCCTTGATATCCCACCGGTTCCTCATCCTCCTGTTGTCCTGGCCTGGCTTCTGTGGGACCCTGTTCGGTGGCTTAGCCTGATGCTTCCTCTCCCAATGTTCCGCCCACTGACCACCCCCTGCTGCTGGCTGTAAAATCCCACGTGTCCTTGTTGTATTTGGAGCTGACCCGGACCTCTCCCCACTGCAAACCCCATTGTCACGGTCCCTGCACCTATCCCAGTGCCCCCTGCAGTCCCATGAATATAGCCTGCCTTCCTGTTTTTAGACAAGTTTCAGGATAACCTTTTTCATCAACAATTGACAAAGAATCAATGTTCAGTAAGTATGCGCTGAGTGTCCAGTAACCAGTCTCCTTCCTACGGGCATCTCAGGGCAGACCACTGAGGAAAAAGGCTCAGGAGAGGCAGTGATGAAGGGAGGAAATTGGAAGGGGTGGTTTTGGGTGGAACCCAGGCAAGGTGCTGGGCCCTGACTCGGGTAGGAGGACACAAGGAGACTGAGTAGGACAAGGAGTGAACATCCTCCGTTTTACACAAGCCTTGGAGGTCAGACCCCCTTCCAAAGGACAAAAAGATTCTGTTTTCATCCTCAAGCAATTCTGGTTTCAGGACTTTCCCCCATGTTAAAAGAGGCCACATCCCCCACTGAGGGTATCATTTCCAGTGTGATTTAACTGGCTGATGTCCAGAGAGAGACGTGGTTATTCTTGTAGTTTCTATGCAGAAAGAGACACCACTCCCACACCAACAGAGCTTTGTCCACGCCAGTCAGTGTGTGTCCTTTAGGATGTGTGCACGAGGCGGCCCACGGCAGCGCACCTGGCCTCGCCTCCGCCTGCTCTGTGTCCCTCTGAGGCGTAACAGGCATGGAACACACCACAGCCCATTCACTTGGGAGGCAACCACCACATTACCTGAGAGCCTAGGGGAAAAATGCCAACGAAGAAACGCAACAAGGAGCTATGGGGTCCATTTATCTATTAAAAAAAGGTTCAAAACAGCAATAATGATCATTGCTTGAGATGAAATTTTCTAACCTGTGCTTACCGGAATTAGAATATAGTTATATTCTAATCCACAATCAGAGAAAAAGAAAACCTAAAAACAAAAAGAATCTGCTATCTGTCTGCAGGTGCCTTTTTGCAGTAAGGAAAATGTAGGTCACTCCGAGAGCACTCCCTCTCACGGGGCCAGAGCTGCGGCTTCCTGAGGACTCCCTCCTGGAAGACGGCGCTTTGGTTATAGAAATGCCTTCACATTTCACATAGTGAGTTTAGCCCTCCCGCTGTGTTTGGGGGGCCCAGGGGTTCCCCATCCTCATCTCGCAAGAGGGCAGAGACCCTGCGGGCCTGAAACAGTCATGGGGGCGGAGGGAGCTGGGCCCAAATCCAGAAGCACTGCCCCTGAAGCTGCCCTTCCCACTTTCCCATACTCAGCCTCAGGTCAGCAAAACCACACCCACACCTCCTGCTGGGAGAGGGCGGGACCAGCTGATCTCCCTGGGTCATCGGCTCTTATAAGAGAAAGACAAAGAGAGAGGGAGGGAGACAGAGAGACACAGACAGAATTCAGTAATTACTCATGCCTGTGAGCCAATGTCACCAAATGAAGAGAACATTCCCTACACAAAATCTTAGCGGATCATGAACTCCCAGGAGGTGTTTCGGTAATTCAGAAGTGAACAATGAAAACCAAGTTCTGACGGAGTTTCAAAATTCTTGGCTGGAAACTTCTAAGGAGAGCTAGCATGCTGGGTGGGGTCACCGCCCAGCCTTCTCCCACTGGGGGTGTGGGGACCTTGTGCCCAAGCCGGAGCTCTGGGTTCCTGGGACAGAAAGGCGGGACCCACAGCCTATGCAGCCCTGCACACACAATGGCTCGTTTCAAATACAAGTTGCCAAAAGGAATTTTGGCTTTGTCTATGGGAACAATTATAAGTTTTAAAAACTGTATTTTCCCTCTGGATATGTTCTAAAATGTCAACTTCCATGCGTCTTTTACAAGAGGCCTTTAGTATTAAGGCTATTGAATTTATCCCATCTTTAATAAAAGAAGAATTTGTTTTTGAAATTTAACAGGAATATAAATGTCTTAATTATTATTTTAATTACTCTTGAAGGAATTGTAAACAAACAAAGAATGCGAAACCTTCTACTCCTCAATTAAGCGTGACATTGATTGAAATGCAATGTGAATGTTCTCACAATATAACAAATGACTTCAATCTGGACTTAACCATGCATCTCAGCTGCGATTAGTGTCGCCCCCGCTGAGGGTGGAAAGGGGGTGTGTTGGTTGGGTAAGGGAGAGGATGGAGAGAGCAAGAGAAAGAGAGAGAGAGAGAGAGAGAGCGCGAGTCAGGCTCGCTGCCATTATGAACTGCCATCAAGTTTGGAAAATCCACTCACACATGAACGGCCCCACATGCAAATCAACCTGGGTTTTCCTCCAGGGCTGAGTTACTTGGCTCTGTGACATTGAGCAGGTCAGTTCCACTCTCTAAGTGGCACGTCTTTTATTTGTGGAATAACGAATTTGGAAGGTGAGGGAGTGGGGCTCTACCTCCAAAATCCCTCGTTCTGGAATTGCCTGGCCTGAGAGGGGAGTAGGCCGAGGAGGGGTGTGAACCCAGGTTGCTGGGAGAGGTGAGGGGAGCCGGTGCTCCAGGAGGAGTCTCTGAGGGGAGGGGAAGGTGGAGTGGGGGGAGGGCCCTTCAGGGAAGGGGCTGGGGGTGCAGAGTGCTGGGGTCTGGAGCAGGAGATAGACAGTGGGGTCTCCTTCGGCACAGTTTTGGAAGCCTGTGCTGCCCCTCCCCACATCTCCTCATCAATGTTCTTCAAACTTTTACATCACCCAAAGGGCGCTACTGAAACACACATTGCTGGGCCCCAGCCCCAGTAATCCCAGCTTGGTAGGACAGGAGTAGACATGAAGAAATTTGCATTTACAATCCCATTTTTAATAGCTACAAAAACAGTAAAATACCTAGGAACACAGATAACCAGGGAGGTGAAAGATCTCTGCAAGGAAAACTGTAAAACACTGCTGACAGAAATCAAAGATGAGACCAAAAATATGGAAAAACATCCCATGCTCATGGATTGGAAGAATCAATATCATTGAAATGGCCATACTGTCCAAAGCAATTTATAGATTAAATGCAATTCCTCTCAAACTACCAATGACATTTTTTCACAGAATTAGAAAAAGCTATTCTAAAATGCACATGAAACCAAAAAAGAGCCCGAATAGCCAAAGCAATCTTAAGCAAAAAGAAAGCCAGAGTCCTCATATTACCTGACTTCAAACTACACTACAAAACCACAGCAACCAAAACTGCATGGTATAGGTAGAAAAAAGACACATAGACCAATGAAACACAAAAGATAACCAACAAATAAAGCCACACATCTGATCTTCAACAAAGCTGACAAAAACAATAAATGGGGAAAAGGCCCTTAATTCAATAAATGGTGCTGGAATAACTGGCCAGCTATACACAGAAGATTGAAACTGGACCCTTTCCTTTCATCATATTCAAAAATCAACTCAAGATGGATTAAAGACTTCAGTGTAAGGCTTCAAACTATAAAAATCCTAGAAGAAAACGTAGGAAATGCTCTTCTTGATATGAGTCTTGGCAAAAAAACTTATGGTTAAGTCCTCAAAAGCAATTACTACAAAAACAAAATTGACAAATGAGACCTAATGAAGCTAAAGAGCTTCTGTACAGCTAGAAAAACTATCAACAGAGTAAACAGACAACCTGCAGAATGGGAGAAGATACTCACAAACTATGCATCCAACAGAGGTCTAATGTGTAATATCTATAAGGAGTTTAAATCAACAAGCAAAAGACAAATAACCCCCATTAAAAAGTGGGCAAAAGACATGAATGAACACTTCTCAAAAGAAGTAATACAAACAGCCAACACATGTATGAAAACATGCTCAGCATCACTAGTCATCACAGAAATGGAAATCAAAACCACAAGTAGACACTATTTCACAGTAGTCCAAATGGCTTTTACCAAAAAGTCAAAAAGTAACAGAGCGAGGTGGCGGGCGCCTATAGTCCCAGCTACTCGGGAGGCTGAGGCAGGAGAATGGCATAAACCACCCTGAGCGAGGCGGAGCTTTGCAGTGAGCTGAGTC